TATTCCTTTCAATATCCCATCCCAATCCTGTCTCGCAAAACAGCCTATCCCATGTCTACCACTCCTTTCGTAGGGAATCATATTTATTCTTAAATTGAGATTTTTCATACACTCTCCCAGTTTTGGCAGTAAGCTTATCACCAAGAATATCCCAAGCTTTCTTTGTTAAGCTAGTACCTTTTCTTTCCCCTTGTTGCACAAGTTCAATGCATAGGTCAAGAAACACTTTTGTGGTTCGTAGGTCCCAAGAAGCTTTCACTGTATCCTTACCCATTATGTTATATCACAATTACAGCTCTTCAGTCATCCCAGGTTAATCAACTCAAAATCTATTGAAATAACAAGTGTCATTGTTACCCAAATCAACTATGAATACCATATTAACATTTTTCTTTCATTCATTATTATTTAAAACAAAAAGAAATTCAATCTATGTATTTATAACATGTAATTAATTTTTTAATCCAACATAAAATGGAACTATGTTCCCATTCCTTTCATGACTAGAAAAAAATTAAATAAATTAATTTTAATTACCACAAATACAATATCCTATAATTTTATTCAAAACAGGATTACAAAAAATAAAACATAAGGATTACAAATATATGTCTCTGGAAAAACTAGTCACTTGAATAGACCGAAAACCAATCCTCTAACCAAAATCAGATAAACCAAGCTACACAAATGAATCCTTGAATGAAAATCAACTCACCACTGAAGTAGAATGTCAGCCACAACTATCAACCAAGCAAAACCAGCACCAACCAAACACCCCAAGCTAGCACTAAAAAAAAAAAAATACCACGGTCAGACGACAAACCGTGACAAGTTCAATGCACATTTTTGTTATCATGATTCAAACATTAAACACAAAGATTTTGTGCGTATGAGAGTTTGGTGAAGGAGATGTGGAGCTAGATAAACAGATCTCATAACCAAAAACAAATTCACAGATTATAAACCAACCGAAGATACCATATATCAGGCTCAAACCAACCGAATAATTTCTGTCGTATGGCACGCATAAACCAACCGAAAATCAGGCTCAACCCCAAATTGTAATTAACAAAAGCAAATCTACCCAGAAGTAGAAGAAGGTCGACTCGATGTCGCAGCCCGTAGAGGAAGAAACAGAGGTTGCTCTGGTTTTGGCTTGCAAGTTGTAAATTTGCAATTACAAGTATGATCCAGAATCCACAAATACTAAAACGAAAATTGAGCTAAATTGACATTGAAATTAACAAAAGAGATCGAGTAGTATAGGATAAACGCCGGATCTGACCCACCTTACCTGAGCGCCGGAGAAAGAGCTAGGGAACACCGACCACTGCCGAATGCTTCAGAGCGAACCTGAGCGCCGGAATTCACAACTGATAGCTGCGATCTTCTTTCACCGAGCTGCGATTTCTCTCACCGGCACCTTCAAACCATGGCTAGACGGCGACTTCTTCACGGGCGGCGACTCGTTTTGTGAAGAAGGAAAGAGCGAAGGGGGAAAGGAAGACCGTGCACGGGGAATGAATGGAACGATGGGGAAGAAAGCGTCTCCAGAGGAGAGAAAGTGGACCGACTGGGGGAAGAAAGCGAGAGGAAGATCAATTATTTGGACCGACTGGAATGGAACTCTGAAGATAATTGAAGCCAGAGGAGATAATTGAAGTCGAGGCTAATTGGTCATGTGAGGAGGGCCCACCATCAACTTTCAGCAATTGGAGCCAGAAGCAGACGAAAGTTGCTTCTGATAAAACCATGGTTTGGGGGTTCAAAACCATGGTTTTATATTTTTCAGAGGCTATTTGGCTAGCATTTTTTCCAAAACCATGGTTTGGGTCCCCAAACCATGATTTTGGGTCCCCAAACCATGATTTTGGGTCCCCAAACCATGATTTTGGGTGCTTACCAAACAGGCCCTTAAAAGAAGATGGGTCTAACTTTAAAAAAAAAAAAACAGCAACGAGGAGGAAAAATTCAAATAAAACTATTTTCAATTAAAAAATACTTGTACGTGAGTAAAAAAAAAGTGAATAGGACACATGGCAATTGGGCATATTAAACCGGAGAAAAACAAAGAAAAATTAAATATGTGTAGAGAGAGAGAGAGAGTTGAAGAAGAACATAAAAATAAGCAAGAGAACATCAAAAAAATGCAGCCATATGATGACGTTATAAGGAGAGAGGTAGAAGACAAATTGCATATGAACACAATAATGTAGTTGAAAGAGTGAGATGCATAGGATCTGCCCAAGCATAGCAACTTGGTACTTAAAAATGTTAGTTAACTTGTGAAGAGAATCCATGTATGTGGTCCAATAATCCATAATTAATTTTTTTGGCCAAATCCATAAATAATTAGGCACATTATTTATGGCTTATGTGTGTGTGTATAATACTACAGTATATGCCATAAATTATTGTATCAATATATGTGTGCGTATATATTTATGCAAAAATATGCCTTTGATTTTTTATCTTCACACAAAATTTCATTTTGATCCCTTAATTTTATAAGATGCAAGATTGTGATAGGGATATAAACTTGGATAGTAAACTCAAATCGTAAACTTGTAAAAGTTTACTTTTATTAATAAATTAGTATCAAAAGTATATAATTAGATAATCAAAATATAAAATATGACAATAATGTCATTTAAATATATTTTGAATCTGAATAATTCGAATTAATGCCGCAAGCATTCATAATTTACCATATTCTACAAAGAAACTTCCATAAAATTCATATATAAAGTCACTAAAGGTCATTAAATAGAATAAATTTAGCACATGTTTAAAAACAAATCGACACAATTTCTTAAAGTAAAAATGCAAAAATGGTAAATTTGATTAGTCAACATGCAAGTTTAACCAAGTTTACAATTAACATGAGTTTAAGAGTGAATGGACACAATTTTGTTAACTGAAAACATAAAAATATTAAAGTCAGGATGATAAGGTGTCTTTTTGGTCATGTAATCTTAACAGTTTCGTTTAATAAAAAAAAATGGTGACATTAAAACTGTTGAATAATACACAAAATATGCAATAAGTAATTCTTTTTGAAATATGATCAACCTCATATATTGAATATTAATATCCATCCATCCTCATAGATGTGATATGATCAACCTCATAATAAATAAAAATTTAACTATGATTTTATTGATCTAATATTTGCATGGTTAATTAAATATTAATATCCATCCTCATAGTGATGTGCGTTTTGAGAATGCTAGTTGCCACCTTTTGACGTTTTGTATTGTGATAGGCTCAAAGTGGCTTTCCTAGTTTCTGACCATTACATTACATAATAAAGCTCATGAATTATATTCTATGGTTGGTAGGTACTCAGATTCATAACGAACTTTTGATAGCGCTTCTTCTACATAAATAAATAAGGCATTGATCTCCTCGAGGTCAAAGTCACAAATGAAGATATTTTCTATTCATAAGACATAAGCTCCAGCTCCATAGGAGGAATTTTGGCCCAAAAAAAAAAAAATTCATAGGAGGATTTTAAATTTTTTTTACTAATGAGATTAGATTTAATGAAAAGAGTTAGTTTTTGAAATGCGACAAATCAAGATAGGTAGTTTTTCACACTGTAACAAATTAAAATTTAAATCCCCGTTAAAAGAGATGCTCATATTTAGTGCAGATAGTACTTTGAATAATATTAACTCCAATAAAAAAAAATCTTATGTGTAGCCAAAAAAAAATTTCTTTTTAACTTTTATACTTCAAGTTTAATATTTTTACATTTTCAACTTACAAACTCTATCATTATAATATCAACTAATTTTTTCACGATATAGAGGATATAGGTCATGATCGATTCCTTTTTCGAGTAGATTTGTTTGATTAACCAAATCATGCATACCCAGAAAAATTAATTAGATTATAAAAATTGTTAAAAAATATCTCAATGTTCCATGGTTTTGGCCTCTATTAAGTAAACTAATAAAAGCATAATAATTATCACTTCACTACTCCTTTCAATAATTTATAAGGGGCTCATGAAAATGGTAGAGAAATAAAAACGCCCATCCATCATAAAAATATTACAATACAACTTATATTGTCAATTACAAAAAAAACCTTTTAGAAAACAACCCTAGCTCTTCTATATTATTTTCGTTTCAGTTTTTTTGTTAGATGAAATAGAATTTCAAGAAAATTGTGAGAAAGTTCCTCTTCGAGAATTTTTTTTCTTTGTAAAGATTTGAATTGAGCGGGAGCAACTTATCTTTATAAAGTGTAATGTTAGATGCAAATGTGTTCTGTTTTACATATAGATGAAAGTATTTTACATATATCTAAAACAACAGTTGCGTTTAAGCAAATTTTATGCATTTTTTTAATAATAAATATTTCAATGGATATTAATTCATTGTTGCTTTGTAGGCGCCTACGATGATAGTCCACCCGTTATCCCCAAAAAGAGAAAACACTTGTATTTAATTGTCAGCAGCCACGATAGAACCTGGAGACAGAGCTACCAGACAAATTGGATAAGGACAGGGCGCTGGTGGGTGAATTCTGAAATGGGGAATTTCATAGAAACTGGTTGCTGTTATAAATTAAAAAAAAAAAAATAGAAAGAAGAGGGGATCAATAAGAGAGAATATTTCTCATTCCATTCAAGAGCGCTCAATATATTATACATGGCCTCTATTTATAGGCACAACTTTATACCTTTGATAGAATCTACAGATTACATAATAATATAACATAATTGTGGTATACAGAGATAACGGGAGATATTAGAGATTATATGAGATATAGGAGATAATGAGAGATATATAGACGTCTATAAAAATATTATTATATTCATGACTTGCTAATATTAACTTTATATTCCAAAAAAGGGACCAGAACCTTGTGGGGAATCCATGAATTGTGGCCCCAGATTTTTATTTTCATCATCACTTCTTCATCAAACAACGTGCCCCATTTGTTTGTTTCTATATAAATTATAAAGCATGCAATTAGGAGGCTTAAAGTGAGAAACTTGAAGTCTTAGACGTAAGCCAGCATTTTTCTTCTCTAGTTCTCAATTCTCATCCTTCCGCCTGCAGCTCCGGGTTCGTGCTATTTTCCTCAGTCTTCGTGCTTTTCATGATCAACTGCTCGGATTTGCGAAGTTTCGTACACTCGAAAAGGTAATGATAATCTCCGATGTCCAAATATGAAGAAACTTGTTTCAATTTTGGAATCTTCCCCCTTTTTCTGGTATGTTGCTGTCCATTTGTTCAATGTTGAGGATAGCTGAAAAACTTGTGGCCAGATGATAACTTGTTTTTTTCTTCGTAGTTTGTATTAACTGTGTTTTTTTAACCTACATACAAGGGCGTTTGCTCGTGTTTATATTGTTAAATTACAGCGTCGGAGTATCTTGTTGGTTAATGAAGACTGTGTGTTTTGGCTTTTAATTCAAAAGATTAATATGGCTATGATAAGTTAGTTGCCTAGACCATGGGTTTTGTGTTGAATTACCTCGGAATACGATCTGTTTTCCGCAGTCATAAGCTATTAAGTTCCAAATTATTGTATATTTAATTTCAATCTTTCCTTTTAAGGAATTACAACTCGTATCTGTTCATCACTGAAAGTTAAATTGTATCAATGGCCCAAGCTAAGACTTCGCCCATGACGATCAGCTACGTTCAACACAAACTGATCTGGGTTATACTGCATTCTGTTGCTGTGCTCTGTTTTTGGCTCTATATTAAAAAGAGAATTGTTAAGAAGTTTGATATAGAGCTTCCTGTAAATGATTTTCATGACATTCAAAAGAGAAAATCTAGATTTTAATTTGTTGTAATTCTTGTGATGTATTTTGAGATGATAATAGTAAATTGGTACGTTACTTATGAAAATATAATGTAGGATAATTATATGAAATTTTTCCTTCTTAAGTATGTTGTGTATTTTTAGTTTTGACGATTCAGCAAAAGAAAAAAAATTTGATCACCCTCCAATCTCATGCAGGCTCTGCCGCTGATTTAAGAGCTTGTTTGATAGAGTTCACGCCTACTTGGAGTATAAGAAGTAGGTCATTGCAAATTGCAGTTTTATTGAAGTTTCTGGTACTTACTAAGACTTCACAGCTTTTCGTTTTCTTTCTTTGTTATGTAGGTGGTTGAATTATCCTTTTCTACTTCCAGTTTTGTAATTCATATGCTCGAATTCAAATTTTACCTTAAAAAAGAACCATATATATGGAAGAATATAATTTCAAAATTTTGCAGTTCCCTCTTCCATGTGTCACCCATTCTCTGTAGCTATCAGATGCTTGTATATCAACTGTATTTTCTTTTGCTTGCTTCTTCTTCTTCTTCTTTTTTTTTTTCCAAAATGAATATCACATTTAATCCAAGGCATTTTAGCAAATCAAATCAAACTTTCCAATGATCTTTAGAATTTCTATATAAATGAGGAAGCGGACCTCACACATTTTGCTGAGTTCCGGTTCCATTCTTATCTCGAGAGAGAATATAGTTTTTGGTTGGTTGTTATCTTATTTTATAATGGAATCTGTTTATGATTTTCCTTCTGCTCAATTAACTGTCGTACTCGTTTGGAATTTGGTGGGAAAATTTCCGTGTTTCCTTTTGGAAATATATGCTAATGTTCAGCATGGTGTGCTTAGTTTCAGAGAAAATGGTAACTAGGACGGTTGATTTTCGGTCAGACACAGTGACAAAGCCAACAGAAGCGATGCGAGCTGCCATGGCAAATGCTGAAGTGGATGATGATGTGCTAGGCTCTGACCCAACTGCTGCTCGCTTAGAAAAAGAGATGGCAAAAATAATGGGGAAGGAGGCAGCCTTGTTTGTTCCATCAGGGACTATGGGAAACCTGGTGAGTGTGCTTGTTCACTGTGATATCAGGGGAAGTGAAGTGATTCTGGGAGACAATTCCCATATTCATATTTATGAGAATGGAGGCATTTCCACAATTGGAGGGGTACATCCAAGAACTGTGAAAAATAATAAGGATGGAACCATGGACATTAACTTGATTGAGGCTGCCATCAGAGATCCAAAGGGGGAGCTTGTCTATCCAACCACTAGGCTTATCTGCTTGGAAAATACCCATGCAAAGTAATCCCACTTTTCCTATTATTTACTTTCCTTATTTTTGCCTTATAGCTGTATCACAATGATGTTAGATTGATTTTATGCCCTTGCACTTTGGGATGTGCATATTTTGTGACTTCATTGATGATTCGATTAACATATTCTTTGATATAATCCAATCATATGCCATCACGTTAGATTTGACTCTATAACTAAAAATTTTGGTCAGTTTTTTATGCTACTTTTTCATTGAAAGAGCAATCTGGTGTGTTAGTGATCCATTTTACTTGTTCGCCTAGGTGTGACTGCAGTTGTCCTGTGGTTGAAAACCAGGTTTAGTGTCCAGTCCTAGTCAACACTTGTCATTTTAGCTAGGTTTGATTAAGGAGCAGTTGTATCTTGATTAATAGTGATTGTTAGCTGAGGTGTGACAACAACTGTTTCATGGCAAAGGCCTATGTTTGAAGCCAAGTCATAGTCAACAAGGAGCCCTTGAGCTAAGTGCGATCAAGTAGAAAGAATTATGCCTTCAGTAATAATACTGACATTTGGTCTAATGATAAATTCTCAATCCAACATCAGCACGATCGATCCATCCCAATGTTCACCCTTAAGTTGCTTTTACTACTGTCTCTGGGCTCTGAAAATCCCTTTCCTTTCTAAACTGATGGAAATTAAATTACTCTTGACTGCAGTTCTGGTGGGAGATGCCTTTCTGCAGAATATATAGACAAGGTTGGAGAATTAGCTAAGAGCCATGGACTGAAGCTTCATATTGATGGAGCTCGTATTTTCAATGCATCGGTTGTGAGTACTTTATGGTTTGGCCATAATTTGATTTTACAATGGATGGTAAAATTAAGCTGGACAGAAAAATGTGAGTTTTGGTAAACATCTGCTACGAAAAGATCGTAAATAATACATCTGGTTATGTTAACTATAATGAAACTTCTGAAGCTTACACAGATTGCCTTATAATAAGCAGTGGTTGGATCGCTTACTAGAACACATTTTGATGTTTCAGGCACTCGGTGTTCCTGTGGATAGGCTTGTCCAAGCAGCAGATTCAGTTTCAGTATGTCATATGATTTCTTTTCCTTTTGGTCCGGCTGAGACGTCAGCATATTCTCTTGGCGTTGGCTGTGTTAGATGTTTCCATTCATAATGTTTCAGAAGACTAATCTATTAAGACTGTTAACCTCATTCATATCAAATTTGCACTCTGTTTCTTTTATGTTTATAATTCTAATGCATGAAAATCGAATTAACAAAGTTTTTGTTTCTTCCAATATATGAATCAGGTTTGCCTGTCAAAAGGTCTGGGTGCTCCAGTTGGATCTGTTATCGTTGGCTCCAGTAGCTTTATCACTAAGGTACTCTAAACATTAATGGCAGTCATTTTCCTACAGTAAGAACTTGACGTGTGTGTTATGTAGGCTAGGCGGCTCCGAAAAACCCTAGGTGGAGGAATGAGACAGATCGGCATCCTTTGTGCTGCGGCACTAGTTGCTGTGCAGGAAAATGTTGCAAAACTGGAGAGTGATCACAGGAAAGCTAAACTTATGGCTGGTAAATTTCCTGCTCTATTTCCAAATTAATCTGAAACATGCCCCATCTAAATTGCACTCACTTTTTTTCGATTTTGATCAATTATCTTTGTCTCTCCATTTTAGAAGGACTGAACCAAATTAAAGGACTTAAGCTAGATGTCAGTTCTGTGGAGACCAATATTGTGAGTATATTATACAAAAGCAGAACCCTGAACTGTGCATTATTAGTCTAATCTCACTACTTTGCTTTGAACACATATTCCTATATTTTCTTATGGCTTAACTGTAATGAGCTACTGGTACCAGATATTTATTGATATTGAAGAAAGCTCAAGAATTACAGCGGGAAAGCTATTCAAGGACTTGGAACAACGTGGTATCCTTTTGATGCTGGAAAGTTCTAAAAGGTCTGAATCCACTTTCTATTATTCTTGGTAGCTCACGAGTTCCTGTTTTAATGGACAATGTGGGTTATGAATCAATTAATGTTTGCAATCTGCAGATTGAGAATCGTGATGCATCATCAAATATCAGCAAGTGATGTGCAGTACGCCTTGTCATGCTTTCAGGTTTTGTGGTCTCATTCCTTTTACTAACATTCCAAGACTAATTTTATTTAGTACTTGGTGTCCCTACCTCAACCCACAACTATTAGGACCCTCCTAAGTGGGCCCCACCACCCAATTGGGTCCCAGTAGCTGTGTGTAAATGGGGCCCACGGACGTATGAACGCATACTGATTAATCTGTTGAATGCTGCAGCAAGCTGTGAAGGGGGTGCAAAGTGAAAATGGCATCTAGTCAGAAGAATTTGAGTTTGCTGCTTTTAATTATATATAATTCCGTTGGGTTATGTGAACACATACGTAGATGTAGACCTTCCTGTCTCTCTTAATGGGTCTTATGGAACGTATGTAAGAACAATTGGTCCCAGCTATGTTTTAATAAATTAGATTGAATAAATTTATTGTGCCCAAGTTATTTGAGATTATATTGGTGAAGAAGGTGTTCTTCAACTTGCCTTAACTCCCTGCACTTTTATAGTAACTTAATAAACATGGATCAATGTTCTTGTGAAGTTGCAATGAACTTTTATTTCACGTATCTATAATGTGCATGTTTGGGATAGCCTTAAGAAGTTTTAGAAGCTAGTTGGAACTGAAAAAACTAGTTGGATGAAATGATGTCCGGGTGCTTTTGAGGACAATTGACTTTTCCCGTTACTTTGAACTTGAAATAATTTTCCAACTTCTAGCTTTTGGCATTTCCTTATATTTGAACCTTTTGAAAATGACTTTGATATATTATTTAAATAAATTTCTATCAGACTAATTGTTTTTTTAATAAAAACTTATTCAACCATAAATCATAACATAATAATTGATTTTTTACCCAAATTTTTATTTGCAAAAGTGGACTGGGAGTCAATTTTACTAACGGTAGGCATGATATTAACAACCGCTGCACAGTTGAATCTACAATAATACTGGCTTGAGCATAGGGGGAGGGAGCTGGTGACTTGAAAGTTCATGCATGTTTGGAAACAAGTCGGAAAACTTGATTAAAACCACGTTCTGGCAGAAGCACCAAGTTAGATAGTGTGTTTGGTTTTGCTTATGTCAAAATGTGATTTTAACTTGTTTCAACTCATTTTCAAATACAGTTTCAGATGGATAAGTATGGGTAAAATGTTAGGTGAATAATATGAAATTAGAAAATATTTGAAAAATGAGTTGAGTGATAAAATTTTGCAAAATTAACTGTAAACTGAATCGACATCTTGTTTGAAAAATGAGTTTTTGGTGTAATTTACAGCTTATTTTCCAAGATTTATAACTGAATTATTTAGTATTTATCTTCTAAGATTTATAACCGTATTATGATTTAGTCATTTAGATCGAGCAAAAGGCATTTTCATCTATCTTATGTTTCCCCCGACATGTAAAGATCTTGAGATTGTCAGTCCAAAAAAAAAAGACAGATCTTGAGACTGGTTTGTCGTGTTGCAATTTGAGTAACTTATTTGTCATTATTTTCTTTACAAAGCACTTATGTGTCATTTTCTTAATAAAAATTGTGTAATTTATATGATAATTTAATCAAAATTTGTATAGTATAGGCTAAAGTACATATTTCGTTCTTTAACTTTGTATAAGTTTTTAATTTGGTCCCTTAACTTTAAAAGTATACTTTTAGTCCGTTAACCCTAAAATTGTTTAAAAATAATGATGACGTTAAGATCTTAAATGTTGATAAAATATTCTCAAATGTTAACATGTTAAGTTTATTTTTTAAAAAAATTGAAACCTTGTACAAAATTAAAAGACTAAATACTACCTCTGGTCCTTAATATAAAACCTCATTTGATTTTTATTTTGATAATAAATATAAGACTTTAATTTATTTTGTCTATCATATTTATGTATTTTTTTCAAAATAATCTTTCTAATAGTGGTAATTTTAGCCAATACACTTGATTAGTAAGAATATTTTAGAAAAAGATAACACTTATTTATTATAAATAAATAACTTAATTTATTTTCTTAATTTATTTATATTAGTCAGCTAACTCTTATATTTAAAACAAGAGATAGTATATGCTTTAGCCTATAATATATTATTTGTCAATATTCATATATCGTCAGCAGTTATTTCTTCTTCGTGTTTTCCTAATGCTACAATTGCAAACTTGCCTGCATATGACTATGTGATCGAGTGAAATTTAAATATTGTCAGTTGTAATTAGAAATAATTCTTTTAAAGATGTTTCCTACAGTTACGCAAACGAAATGATTTGTTGTTGTACTCCTCTGGTCCTATATATAGGACTTAATTGTTGAGCTAGTTTTGGTCCTAAGACTCATTTATCATATTTATGAATTTTCTCTAAATTACCTTTATGGATACTTCCTCAACCATAATCAAGTAGAAGAGAAAGGGGGGTATTAAGAAAAATAATTATGATATTTTAAGAAAAATGTGTCACATTTCTTATAATTAACTAACTTACATAATTTTCTTAATCTAATCAAATTAGTTAAATGGGTCTTATATTAAGAACCGAAAGAATATCTCTTTTTCCTAAATATGCAAATTTGTGTCGATGAAAAAGAAAGGATAGAATGATCTGAATATAATACTACATCTAGTTATTAACATAAAAGTCTTGACCTTCAATTTGATTTTAAATATAATATTTTAATCTACTTTATTTCTTATATTAATATATTTTTTTAAGGTAGTACTTGTAACAGTTGTCCATATTAAAAGTTTCACTTGATAGTTCTAATTAATATATAAAATTAATAAGAATATTTAAAAAAAATAACCCCTATTTATTATAAATAACTAGCTTAATTAATTTTTTAATCTGCTTAAATTAATTAATTATTTTTTATATTAAAGATATGAGGTAATATTGAAGATAGTGAGATGGCTAAAACTTAAATTTATCAAATAATGTAAAAACACCACCCACTAAAAAGTACTAAAATATTGCAATAGACTATAATAGTGAGATGAAATAATGGAACATAAAACATAATCCTCCTGCTCAAAATATAATACCTATTTTATGGTAAAATTACACTGTAAAATATATCTTATATTAAGAACTGAAAAATTATTAAATAATTGATCCTGCAATCAATAATATTTGAAGTATAAGTTATCTTGAGAATTGTAATTAATACTGATTTATAATAAAGATCATTTATTTTTCAGGAGATGGAACTATGAGAGATTACAGGTGCAATTTTAGAAAATTATATAATAATTTAAAAATTAAAAATTAAATTAAATTAAAACAAAATAATTTGTCTAGGAAAAATTGGTAAAAAAATTTTATTTGAAAATTTAATTGGCTAAAAAGACTTGAATTTGAATGAGTACAACTATGATCTATGAGTGCAACATATCTTCTATTGTGTATAACATATCATTAATGATGGGTAATAATTATTAATACCGAAGTCATTTGCACACAAAGAAAGATTAGAAATTCTTACATGAACTTGGTCTGTCACGTCATTTGTGGTGTGACCAATCACAAGCTAACAACTCAACTAATTTTAATCCTAGTTGGCTGATGATTCACTTGCTCTTAATCAATTTAATTTTTTTTCCAAACAAATAAATAAACCTCTAAATTCTAGGGAAAAAACTCGTCACCAAGGTTCAACAGAGATATTGAAGGGGTTGAAAAAGTATGCCCTAGCTGAGCCTTCCAAAATCTTCTTCGTCGGCAGGGAGTATGTAGCGTTGCTGTCAGAGAGTCCCTAGCGTCACGGTGAAGAGTCCATAGCTTTGCTGCATCTTTGATTTCAGTTTCACTTCTAGCGTGCGTTCTTCCTACGGCATCTCTCGTGTCACGCGTTCTTCATATTTGAATGGCAATTCCAAGTATTACGTCAAGTTTTTCTTTTGTCCTCTACATGGATAAATGGACCACCATGGGATGAGGACATGGTTTATTGTTAAATGGAAGATATTTATGGACGGTAAGGTCTTGTTATGTCTTGACGCAGAGTTAGTGGTGTCTATTTAATTAGTGCCTTCTTATGGGAAAATGTTAGATGTATAAGCTATATGTATGATTTGCTACATATTTTGTGACTGTTCCATCAAACCCATGCTACTCAGACCTAATGTTTAAGAAATAGACAATGTTTACCTAAGAATTTACCGTCCTCCTTATGCTTTAACTTTTAAAGTTTCTTTCATTATACTATAAATTCACCCCCCATCTTATTAGATTTTCTCTATGGTAGTTGTAATTTTTCCATAGGGAAAAAAATATCTGATGGGTATTTCCTGTAGATAACTGTTCCTTTTTTATGCCCAACTAGATTAGTGTTAATAATATCACGAATAAAAATGGTTTTGGGCAAACAAAATTGATAATTAACTAATAGATACAACGATGTCATATTTTTTATTTTGTAAATGTTTTCTCTTTCCTTCTGTATTTCACAACCAATTATATCTTAGATGCTACTCCATAATCAACTTAAATTATGGAGTATATCGTAGTGTGTATATATATCAATACTAGGGAAATGTATCCAAAATAATATCATCGTATAATACTTTAATACTTGACGTAAGAGCCAACTCATTTCATCCGATATATAATAATAGTATTAGATATCACTTTATATACTTAATATAAGAGCTAGTTAGAAATTAAATTTGGTTATATATATAAAACTCTATTCTACTTTATCTTCCAAATTTTTATAAGATTATTTATTTCTATTTTCAGAGTTGAACATTTTGAAACATATGCTGAAAGAAAGGTACTCTTCCGAACCTTAATATAAGATTTAATTGTTGAGTTGATTTTAGTCCTAAATATAAGACCTATTTTTCATATTTATCAATTTTTTCTAAATTATCCCATGATACTTCCTCAACCATAATCAAGTAGAAGAGGAAGAGAGAATATTAAGAAAAATGATTATGGTGTTTTAGAAAAAACATATCATATTTCTTATAATTAACTAACTCATATAACTTTCTTAATATAATTAAATTAGTTAAATAAATATTATATTAAACATCAAAAGAGTATCATTTTAATTTAGTTGAACTTTGACCAACACCGGCACTTATATAATGTCTGCAATTTGCGCTTGTGTAGTTTTCATAGAAGGGGCTTTTAATTCAAAGCTTGAACTGTCAACTTAAATTTGTAGACTCGTAACCTCTGATTATCTTCTCTTTTACATTTATGTTTTTCTTCAATTTAATTAATTTTACTTTTTAAACTGACTTTTACGCACCAGCTAAGATTTTGAACAGATGGAAAAAAATAAGAGAAATTCTTGTATGCACCAAGAGCAGCGCCATTTGCGATCTTCCCAATTTGACGAAAGTCACGAAACCAGCTCAGAGAAATTCAATCTCACAAGACATCACTGGTCAGAGTCAGAGAAATAAAAAGTCGTGGGTCCCACAAAAATATTTATTTAGCAATTTTCTCTCTCCGTCAATTTAATGCCTTTGTCTTCCTTCCATTTTCACTTCCAACAATGCCCCTTTTTCCTCTTCCATCAACCCACCAAATCTGTCATCCGTTCAAATTTGAGAACCGCCCCGGAAAACCTTCACAAGTAACCCCATTCCACCAACGTGCCCTCTCGGCAATATATTAAAAATCTTTATTTATAAAATTTTTACTAACTAAGTTAATGTTACAAAATGACAAATACATAGGTTTATATATATATATATATATATAATTTTTGAGTGGAAAAAACTATTTTATTACTTAGTAAACTTTGATTGTTATTGCAATTTTGCAAATTCTTTTAAATTTTAATCCACATTTAGATAAATTTTTTAACTTGTCAATTTTTAATTAAATTGTGACACGCACATGCTTTTATAGTTGATTTTGAATATAAAAGTTAGATAACTAATTTATAAATATTAATAAATTTAGTTGTATTAATTATTTACAACAAATATGTATTAATTTTCTTAAAATATTTTTTAAATCATATGCATTATAATCACATTACCCGTTCATGAAAATTTTCTTACTATATATAATAAATAAGAATACTTTAAGGCAAAAAACTACAAACTTGATAGATATAATAAACTAAGTCTTACATTTAGTCCTAAAATGAATATCTTATCTAGCTCGTATATTTAAAATGAAGATAATATTTTTTAAAAGACAAAACTTACATCAATTTACTTATATTAATTAGGTTTATCAGATCAACTCTTGTTATATGTGATTTTTTATGCAATATGCATATATCCCTTGGGTCCATTTTGTCATTTTATTTACATATGCATATGCATATAAACGTTTAAGGTGAAAAAATTTAATACATGTGAAAATATATTAAGAAAACTAAAATTTTATAACACCACTGAATTTTATTTAAATGTATATCAGATATGAATAAATATTTTAATATATAACTATGTATTTATTATTTTGTAACATTAACTTATTAGTTAACATAAATGTTGTAAACAAATATTTTTAATATAACAATTAATATGTTGTGGGGAAGCACGTTGGCGTCGTGGTGTCTTGGCAGAATGAAAAAGGATAAAGGTTCTTTAGCGTGGTTTTCTCACAGCCGAGCGATTTGGCGGTTTTTGATGGAAGAGAAAAGAAGGGCATTGTTGGAAGTAGAAATGGAAAGAAGAGAGAGGCATTAAATTGACGGAGATAAATATAAATTTTTGTGGGACCCACGACTTTTTATTTCTTTGACTAATGATGCCATGTGAGACTGAATTTAATTTGTCTTGAGTTGGTTTCATCTAATTGTAGAGATCACAAATGACATGGTACTCCCAGTGCACATAAGAATTTCTTAAAAAATAGAAAAGATTTTGACGATGCTCATAAATCTCTTCCTTTGAAGAAAAACCATACCCTGTGTCCTATGTGTACATAAGAGCCAGATTTAACTAGTTTACTGAAAATTAATGAAATTGGCTAGTTTTATTATTTGTAAAAAAAGTGTGCATGGATTTTTCTAAAAGAGCTCTTTTAATTATTGATGTTAAAAACTATTACTTTTGATCCTTAACATGAGAGTTAAATAACTAAATTGGAGAGATTAAGAAAATTAGTTAAATAGTTATTTGTAATAAATATGGATAGATTTTCTTAAATTACCTTTATTCAATCATGTACATTGAAACTATACTTGGGTGAAAATACTTTACAATCAACAGGAATATTTTTTAGAACACATTATAAATTTTGGAGACAAATTGGATTTGAGTTTTATATTTAAAATAGTCAACTAGCTTTTGTATTTAGGACTAGAGGTAGTACTTCATTAATAAAATTCTTTTTAACATATGTAATAATAAGAATAATATAGGACAAAAATTATAAATTTAAAAGAGAAAGTTGATTATATTTTTATATTTATGACCAAAACAACCTCTTTAAGCTCTTAAAGTATTACAAAACAATATATGGAAGTAAAGGGACTTGGCCGAGGGATCCCTCGTAGTGACCATCACAATCAAGACAACGTAGGAACATGGAATGGAAAGTCATGCAAACTTACAAACTATGCTAAAAGCTTATATGGGAAAATTAGGGGCTTGATGCCATGATGGGATGTCTATCTCACTGTTGAGATTAAAGAGACTTTGAAATTAACATAAACTTAGAATCATTCAATTCTAATGCAAGTGACAATGTATAAAAGAATAATGTGAAGTAAAGGGACTTGGCAGGGGGTCTCTCATAGTGACCATCACAATTAAGACAACGTAAGAATATGGAATGGAAAGTCATGCAAACTTACAGACTACGCTAAAAGCTTCTATGAGAAAATTGGGATCTTGATGCCATGATGGGATGTATATCTGACTGTTGAGATTGAAGAGACTTTGAGATTAACGTACGACTTAGAATCATTCAATTCTAACGCAAGTGACAATGTATAAAAGAATAATGTGCTTTGATAAGGCAAAAAACAGCCTTCACCTTCCTCATTTGATCATTAATAGAGAGGACTAGAGTCTCTTATATGCAATGAGGTCCATCCTAACCTTATGGCTTTTCTTGGTACCTTTCTGCATCATAAACTCGGGCATCAATATCTTTGTTGTGACTAGTAATTATATTAGCCATCAAAAATCTGCATTGCTTCATCTAAGGAACAACCTTGTATTCAACCCTTCCATGTCCGAAAAATTGGTTTATTGGAACCAAAGTCATGATTTCTGTGAATGGAATGGAGTAACATGTGACAATAAGGCACATGTTATAGCTCTTGATCTTAGTGAAGAATCCATCTCTGGAGGACTTGACAATTCCAGCAGCCTCTTCAACTTGCAATTTCTGCAAAATTTGAACTTGGCTTATAATGAGTTTGATTCTGAGGTTCCTTCGGAGTTGCACAGGCTGAAAAACTTGAGGTATTTGAATTTGTCAAATGCAGGTTTTAAGGGTCAGATTCCAAATGAGATATCTTATCTGAGAAAGCTAGTTTTTCTTGATTTATCAACCTCACTTCACACCACAAAACTTGAAGAGACAAATAAGGCAAAGTTCTTGCAGAACCTCACAGAAATTAAAGAACTATATCTTGATGGTGTGAAGATGTCTATTAAAGGAAAGGAGTGGGGCCAAGCACTATCTTTACTACAAAATCTTCAAATTGTTAGTATGTCTTCTTGTTTTCTCCTTGGACCTATTGATTCATCACTTGTAAAGCTTCAATCTCTCTCAGTTCTTCGGTTGAACAATAATAATTTCTCAAGCTCTGTGCCTGAGACCTTTGGTGGTTTAACCAATTTAACCACCCTGCATCTTAGAAATTGCAATTTGATTGGGATGTTCCCAAAACAAATCTTCCAGATATCCAACTTGCAAGTCCTTGATTTGTCAGATAATCAAAATCTTCAAGGCTCTCTACCATATTTCCAGCATAATGTATTTCTACGCTCATTGAACCTTAGTCATACATGTTTTTCAGGGCAACTACCAACTTCTATTCACAATTTGAGGATGGTGTCTTCATTGGATCTGTCAAACTCCAAATTCCATGGTAGGCTTCCCAGTTCTATTTCAGAACTGACTTCACTTGTTCATATAGACTTGTCATTCAACAACTTCACTGGTTCTCTTCCATTTTTCAATATGTCAAAGAATCTTTCACATCTGTCTATCAGTAACAATGGCTTGGAGGGTGAAGTTCCATCTTTTTATTTCAAGGGCCTTGAAAATCTTGTCTTCATTGATTTAGGTCGCAATTTTCTCAATGGCAGTGTTCCATCATCTCCTTTTACACTTCCATATTTGCATGGACTGAGTCTTTCTCATAATAAATTTGAGGGTCTATTGGATGAATTTCCAAATGCTTCTTCTTCCCCATTAGAGTTCCTCGATATCAGTGGGAATAATTTACAAGGGCATATTCCTCTGTCTATCTTTCATCTCAAAAAACTAAGTTTCATCGAGTTTTCCTCAAACAAGTTCAATGGAACCATACACTTGGATATGTTCAAAAGCATGCAAAATTTGGTGACATTAGATCTCTCTCATAACAACTTGCTGGTTAATGGAACTTTAGTTTCTAACCAAAGTCATCAGTCACCATTCCCTAAATTGAGCAACCTCATGTTGGCTTCTTGCAAGTTGACAGAGTTTCCAAGATTTCTCAGACATCAATCCAATTTGTTGTACCTTGACCTATCTAGCAACCAAATTCAAGGAACAATACCTAATTGGATTTGGAGGTTTCATTCATTGGTTTTCTTAAATCTTTCCAACAATTTTCTAACAGATTTGGAAGGTCCTTTTGAAAACATTAGCTCCAATTTGTTTTCTCTTGATCTTCATTCCAACCAACTCAAAGGCCCAACTCCCATACTTCCAAAAAATGTGTTCCATTTGGACTACTCAAGCAATAAGTTCAGCCTAATTGACCCACCAGAAATTGGTAACCATATCCCTTTCGCAACTTCTCTCTCCCTTGCAAATAATAATTTTCAGGGGAAAATCCCAAAATCCCTCTGTAACATGTCTTCACTTCGGATGCTTGATCTTTCTGATAATCAATTCAATGGTTCCATTCCTGAGTGTTTGATAAGAATGAGTTCGACTCATAGGGTGTTGAATCTAGCTGGAAACAACCTCACAGGCCATATTTCAGACACATTTTCAACTTCTTGTGCCCTCCAATTCTTGGACCTGAATGAAAATTTCTTGAGTGGTAAAATCCCACATCTTTGGTTAATTGCCTTAAACTGCAAGTCATAAACCTCGGAAACAATCAATTGATAGATAGATTTCCATGTTTCTTAGGGAACATACCCACCTTAAGAGTCATTATTCTCAGGTTAAATCGATTTTATGGGAGCCTTGAATGTCCAAATAGCAATGGAAAGTGGAAGGCACCTCAAATTATTGATGTGGCATCAAATAATTTAAGTGGTGCTTTACCTATTGCACTTTTGCAAAGTTGGAAATCATTGATGATGCCTGATGAAGATGACGGCAAATCAAAGTTGGGCCAGTTGTATATTGACATCTATGACAACATTAATCTCATGGACGTCAACGCTGGAATATCCTCTGTGAACAAAGATCTTGCATCGAAGCTAGCCAAAATTATATCAACAGAATCACAATTTGTGATCAATAGCATATTCTTTGATGTCAATGCATATGATTTTGGTCGTCGTAGTTACTTGGATTCAGTGACAATTGTCAACAAAGGAATACAACAAAAGTTCGTCAAGATTTTGTTCACCTTTGCTTCCTTGGATTTCTCATCCAATCATTTTGAAGGGCCAATACCAGAGGAAATTATGAATTTCAAAGCACTTCTTGCTCTTAACTTGTCAAAGAATGCTTTTTCAGGCAATATTCCTTCATCTGTAGGAAACTTGAAGCATCTTGAATCATTAGACTTGTCAATGAACTCTATCAGTGGAAGAATTCCATTAGAACTCGCAAGTCTAAATTTCCTTGAAGTTCTCAACCTATCCTATAATCATCTGATAGGGCCAATCCCAACGGGTACTCAAATTCAATCATTTGAGGCTGATTCCTTCAAAGGAAACAATGGTTTATGTGGGCCTCCATTGATACAAAATTGCAATTTTGATGATGTGCCAGGATTGTTGACCCCGACAACATCTGATGAATCAAATCATGGCAATGGCATCGATTGGAATTTCTTAAGTGCTGAATTGGGATTTACTTTTGGCCTTGGTATTATTATCTTTCCCATTATTTTTTGTTAGCAATGGAGATCTCGATACTTCAAATATGTAGATGACATGCTGTACAAGGTTATCCCTCAGATTGATTTCACATATGAACACCGTGGAGGGAAAACTTATAGACGCTTAAGGTGGAAACCTTTTTGATTTTCAGCTGAACAAGGGGAAAGAGCATGCAATTTCGTTTCTTTTTTTGCTTTTCTAATGTCAAGAAGAGATGAATAATTAGTTCTCTTAGAGAAGTCAGAAGTGAAATAAAGCTGGTTTTTCAATTTACAATTGCTTCTCTTTTTTTTTTTTTGGCCAACAATTTACAATTGCTATTTGAACCCTTATTTCTTCCAAGTATTATATTTAGTTTTATGAGTATGCACGTTAAGCATAAAATTAATGGGGGCTATGGTGAAATGTGAGGACTTGAAATATAGTATCTTGTATTTTTCTTTGTTTATCAAGTTTCTCAAAGTTTAATATTACCTTAGGTTCTAAATATAAGAATTAGTTGAAGATTCAATTTGAATCTAAATATATGACTTTAATCTACTTTATTTTTCATATTTATTTATTTCTCTCAAAATAATCTCTATGATGATGATTATACATGTTAAAAGGTTTTCATTTTAATACACATGATTAACAAAATTATTTTAAAAACGAAAACGCATATTTATTATAATTAACCTAACTAACCACACAAAATTTTGCCACTAAAAGTGTGACTTTCAACAGTGACATTAAGAGTCACTGTTGAAATTCTTACTTTCAACGATGACTATTATCTGCAACTCCTAATATTGCTTCTGAAAGTATACCTTTACGCTGTGTTTGGCATGACGGAGGGAAGGAGAGGGGAGGGATTTTAATCAAGAGAAGGGGAGGGGAGGAAAGGGGAGGGTAGCTACAAAGGGGAGGGGAGGGGAGGGGGGAAGGGAGGGAAGTTATTTTAATGATCTCTTGTTTGGATTGATTGGAAGGGAGGGGAGAGGAGGGAGAAATTTTAGTTACATCTTATTTTGTTCTAATAAAAAATTAACTATTTTAACATTATAAAATTTAAATGAATTTTCTCACTTTCTTATTTTATTAAGATATAACTATATATATAATGCAATTAACCAATTTTGACTTTCAAGACATAGTCACACACTTATAGGATATCAAGATAAAAAGTCATGAGTGATATATTTCAATCAGAGAAAAGACCTTGAAGGTAAAAGAAAATACCGACGGCCTCTTGGAATTAGAAGAAGAGAAAAAACAAAGGTTCACAAATGCTTACTAATTTTGGAGACAATTATCTCAACAACCTCTTGTTAGATGTTCAAAACAACTCTCTTACGTAGAAATGTTTACAACTGATTAAGAGTTAACAAATTGAAAGCGTATATGAGGAATTAAAATATTATCTCTCATCTCCTCTTTAAAAAAACCCCCTTTTGGAGGGGAGGTTAGAAGGGAAGAGGAGGGAAGAAGAGCCCCTCCCCTCTTTAAAAAATATCTTAACCAAACAAGGGAAGGGGAGCAACTCCCCTCCCTTCCTAAAATATTACACCGGCCAAACAAGGGGAGGGGAGTAACTTCCCTTCCTTCTCTTTCGAAAACCCTGTACCAAACATGATGTTGGTGGCGGCTAACCATGTCCATTGAAAGTATATTTTTAGTGGTGACCTAATGCCTGTTTAGGTTAGCGTTTGCTAGTTCAAACGTGGCTTAATTTTAACAAAGCCCGGTTGAAAATTGATCAACCATTTGGGAGGGCTTATAACATATTGAGCGTATTGAAAATAAGCTAACTGACCGTGCAGTGTAAATTAAGCCAGGAAGAAGAGCTTATTTTGTTAAGTCTGAAGAGCTTAATTCAGGACCATTCTGCAACCAAAGTCACCGGAGACGCTGAGCCCAGCCACTGAAGATGCCATACCTTACACTTCCCATTCAGCTACTAAAGTTGATTGGCAACTCTATCCACCGTCGTCGCCTTTGTTTATTGTGGATCAGCTCCTGCAACATCATCTACAAAACCATAGTCGGGTTCCACAAATCCGTGTAAATGTAACTGAAATCTCAGGGTTTGAAGATGATCATGTTGATTTGGTTAGGAATATGGAAATAACGGAGGCGATTACAAGAGTGAAAACCACGTCCCATATGCAAGGAGGAGTTCAAATTAGGAGGAGATGCAGGCAAATTACCTTGTGACCATTTCTTTTGCTTCGAATGTATCCATGTTTGGCTCAACATTGACCAAAACGATACTTGCCCTGTTTGTCATCGTCGCTTGCCTTCTCAGAATTTCCGATCACCTAGAATCGCAATCCCATCCCCATGTACAGTTCTTGATAGTCCCTGGGAATATTTCTTCTTCCCTCCTGCGCCTATTCTTACAAAGTGACGTCTTATTTCACTTTATATTTAAAATATTTTTTATAATTTTTTAAAGTTTTAAAATTTAATTCACCTATTAAATTTCATTTCTTCATATTAAATTAATTTAAATTCATTGTATTATGTTAAATTATTTTTTAATCATATTTTATTATTTATTAAAACTCATACCTATTTTGATAATTTTACAAACAAACTTATTTTTTCTTAATCATAATCTAAACAACATTTTGCCAATCTTATTTTTACAAATTAACCTTTTAAAACTCTAATCTAAATACAATTTAGCTTATCCAATCTTACTTTTCTAAAAGTCAGATTAAAAATAAGTTATTTTTTTCATCATCAACCCAACGGATCCCTAATGTTGCTACTGAAAAGGGCTTTTAGCAAAGTACCTAATTTTAGCAGCGACGTGTCTCTGCAAAAAGTCTATTTTAACTTTGTATTATTATTTTAAGTTTTTTTAAAAAAAACTATTATATTTAGACAATAATTTTGTTCATTAATATGATTTGTTATGACAAAATAAAGTATTTTCACATGTTATTGTGTTAGAAAGAGAGAGAAAGAGAGGGTTAGAGAGATAATATGGAGTGTGTGAGAGTAAGAGAGAGGGAAGGAGGGAGGAATGAATGTGTGTGTGAAAGTGAGATATTATAATTATATGTGTGAGAGAGAGTTAAATAATCATGATAAAATTTATAATTAAATTTTATTATTTTTTATATACTATTTCCATTTTTCAAATTATAAATATATAATATAATAACTTGAATAATTAAAAATAAAAATATATACCACAAATAATATTGTATAAATTGTATTTTTTAATACAAAATGGATATTATAAATAAATATTTTAATCAAATAATAAAATTAATTATAAATATTTAATAATAGTATTATTATTTAACAATATTTAATATGATCGTCTTTAGGCTAAAGGACACTGAAAGTCTATTTCAATATTTTATTACTAGTATATATATATATATAATTTTGCAACAATTATCACTAGATTCATTCCAACTTAATGGCAAAAAGAAGGCACGTAGAAGGAGGAGGTCAAGAGTTTGAACAATGAAAGAGCTATATTTAAGGTGATAATATCCAGTTAGTGATGCAGCACGTCAAGGTAGGGATATATGGCAGAGGTGAGGTGGCAATCAATGCGGTGACACCCACTCGATGAACATCCATGATGTAGTGGCAGCTAACAGTAGTCATATTTTTCTCTGGTGACTTTTTTATCGTCATTGAAGGGTCTTTTAGCGGTGACTTTTGTGTTGTTGCTGAATGGTCTTTTAGTGGCAACTCACTTTGTCACCACTAATAAGTTTCAGTAACAATCACTATGGCAATGATTGGGCCACAAATTTTTGTCACCACTAAAAACTTTCAGCCGCAACTTTTGTTGCCGCTGAAAGTTAATTTTTTTGTAGTGAATCATCACCACACATGGTCTATTCTTTTCTAAACCAAATATTTCCAATTGCTCGTTCAAACTCCTATCCATAAATATTGCATATTCATGTCTTTGTACATGACACAAAATCAACATTCAAACTTTGTTTTGGATAATAAAACGAAGAGACGAAGAAGAGCTCATTTCTCTTAAAGTTTGATATACATTGAAGTTGTCAAATTGAGATGTCAAGTAAATTCTAGATGATTTCTAAATTCAATGATAGTGAACCATACAAATTTTGCACTGGACAAAAGTTATTTTTATATTTCTGTTTACACAATATATGTTTTCTTAGATGTTACGGTAAAAATTCTTTTTCTATACAAAATTATGGTAGAAATTCTAAGACTCGCATATAATATATATGTTGCCCTATTTATACTCAATAAAATAAAAAAAAGTTAATATAAAATGAGATGCACTTCCCCCACTTTTGCCTGTAGGAATAAATTAATATAAATACTGTTAATAATGTCCTATGCTTTTCTCCCTAGGAGATATTACCTCCGATTCTTAATATAAGAATTAGTTTGACTTTTAATTTGGTCCTAAATATAAGATCTCAATTCACTTTATCTCTCATGTTTATCCATTATTCCTAAGACAATCCTTGTAGTAGTTGCACATGTTACATGTTTCATCAAATTTTAGTTCTAACTAATATACATGATTAGCAAAGGTGTTTTAGGAAGACAACATCTATTTATTACAAATAATTAACTTAACAAATTTTTTTAATCTACTCAAATTAGTTAACTAACTCTTAAATCAAAAATCAGAAGTAGTAAAATATCACTAGATGCTTCTAGCAGGCTTTGGTTACATAATTAACTAAGATGCAAAATTCTACAGCATTAATGTTCATTGTGGGAGTAGGATACAGACATGCCTGTGTGCGTATTAACTATTCTGAATGTTTGTTCAATTTTAATCAAGAAATATGACTACTTTTTGCTTTTGGTTAAAGCTTATAATCAAATCAAGTGGTGTAAGCAGCTAGTAGTTAACGAATCAAATAACAGTTGTTGTCTTTATGCATTAATCAAGTTATAAGGGGTAAATTTTTAATGCTTAGAATATGGCATCTGGTAAAGTAAAGACGCACGACCATTGTTGAATATACTCCTTATGCGAGAAATTCTTACATGAACTTGGTCTGCCACGCCATTTGTGGTGCGACCAATCCCAAGCTAACAACTCAGGTAATTTTAATCCTAGTTGGCTGATGATTCACTTGCTCCTAATCAATTCAATTTTTTTTTTCCAAACAAATAAATAAACCTGTAAATTCTGGGAAAAAAACTTGTCACCAAGGTTCAGCGTAGAAATTGAAGGGGTTAAAGAAGTATGCCCTAGCCCAGCCTTCCAAAATCTTCTTCGCCGGCAGGGAGTATGTGGTGTTGCTATCGGAGAGTCCTTAGCGTCACCGGTGAAGAGTCCGTAGCTTTGCTGTATCTTTGATTTCAGTTTCGCTTCTGGCATGTGTTCTTCCTACGGCATCTCTCACGGCACGTGTTCTTCATCATCTGTCTCACGTTGTGCCACATCACCTTTAGAGTTGGTCTTGGGTGAAGAAGGTTCGTAGCCGTAGACAGCATCCTCAAACTCTAGGTCTCCATTGTTGCCTAGAAGGGACAAAGGGACAAATATCATAGGTTCTGAAACTTCTATCTTTTATCTTTGTTATACTACTAGTCCAGCTTGTTCAAAAACTGATGTCCACATCTCTATATTTGAATGGCAATTCCAAGTATTATATCAATTTTTTCTTTTTCCCTCTACATGGATAAATGGACCACCATGAGATGAGGACATGGTTTATTGTTAGGGAAGAGAGCAAGAGCTTTCAGTTGTAAGTTAGACGGAAGATATTTATGGGCGGTAAGGTCTTGTTCTGTATTGACGTAGAGTTAGTGGTGTCCATTTAATTAATGCCTTCTTATAGGAAAATGTTAGATGGGAAATTAGTGTTGGATGTATAAGCCATATGTATGATCTGCTACATATTTTGTGACTGTTCCATCAAACCCATCCTAGTCAGATCCAATGTTTAAGAAATAGACAATGTTTATGCATAATATTATGTTATGATGCCCTTTTCAGGTTTATGCATAATTCTTTATCATAATAAGTTTGTCATATTATGAAAAGCTAAGTTCTTTTGGACAACCCACTACATAGTTACTCACCTTAAGTTTCCTTTCATGAATCATGTCAGCATAGGAATCCATGGTGATTAGATTTTCCTCTTTCTCTGCTTGCTCTTTCTTATTCAGTGGTTTCTTGCGAACCTACATCAGTGGTGTTATGTCAAAATGCAGTTTACTCTAGGAACTAAAAACATTTGCTAGGCAGTAGTCTAATTTATAATGAAATGATGGTATGCACTATCAAAATGAAAAGAAAGCCAGTTGAATGTTCAAATGTTCTTGCGAACCTGCTTTGTGCTTGTTGAAATTACTTAACGTGTTCAAATTGCTAGATCTCTAGTTAGTATATCACTGCTCTGATATTATAATTCCCTAATGTGATGCTGGTCTTTTTCAGACTTGAATATTCAAATGGCCAGTTGCACAAGATAGAGTTCTCACTAATTCTAAAGGGTTAGAAGACAATTGGCTCTTGACAGAAGTGCAACTTTGGATGTGGTGAGGAAGAGGCACTTTTTCATATTTTTAGAGGATGTCTTAGAGCTCGTGCTTGCTGGTATAGAATTGTTGGGGAAGCGATTGGTCTCAAATCAGTGGTGGAATGATGAAGAGTACAAGGATGAAGATTTCTGAATGTAGATTTGTCGGCTAGGAGAGCTCTCTAGTTTGACTTTGTTTTTTTCAATGTATTATTCAGTGCCAGGTGAATGTAAATACAAATATGTTATTAGAAGGCTAATCGGGCAGATGTAATTGATTTTTTTAAGAAAATAAGCTTCAAATGTTATTTCATCTCATGTTTTTGACTTTGTATTATTAATTTTCCATTATTGGTTATTAATAATTTTGTTTTGACAACCATAGCGTGTAACTTGTGATAGGCAATTACTTGCAGGGGATGAAGTTTTATTATGCTGATTGTGTTGCTCTGTTTTCAAAACCATAGCCAATAGTTTGCATCGGTTTTATTATATGAAGTTGCCACATATATCCCATCTCCTATGAGATGTATACCTACATATATAAAAAACTGTCATAAGTCTACCATCATATGCCATGTGGAACCTGCGCAAATAAGTATAGATGTAAAGTAATAGTGAAAAGCGTTAAAAAACTTCATTCATTCAATATGACATAAGTTCCAAGCTGAGACTGGCTCTTACAAGCAAACTAGTAAAGAAAATACAACCATA